GTCAAGCTTGACCTCCATGTTGCGCCCTTGTTGGGCCTATGTTGGCCTTTACTTGCGAAAGCGACCAAGGACAAGGACCCACAATGCTGAAGCACCGCAGACCCAAGTTTTTGGTTCAAGCGGGGTGGTTTTGCACTTCTGCCTGGAGTTTTATAGCTATAAAAGACCATAAAAGACCTAAGCCAGTACATGCCAGTACCTCATCTATAGGTCCCCAGCGACCTCACCAACCATGAACTGGACCGGCGCGGCAGAGACTGCACGCAAAGGGAATTGTGGTGCAAAATAGGACCTGTACGTTTTGGGGGGGTCCTTGCAGGTTTAATACGAATCAATCACTTGGCTTAGGCCCTTGTAGACTAGACTGTTGACTTGACTCGGAAAAAGCCACACCATTTGGACGATAGTAAACACTCTCCATACGGGGAGATGAAATATGATCAACAGATATCAACAGTTTAGAAGGTACTTTAGGACATCACCTACCAACATGTCGGGATCCGGCTGGCTATCCTGTGCTTGTCGCGGTGCTATTGAGTCGGAACCGATTTTGCAAGGTCAACCTGGCCCATAAAAATCCAAGGCACAGATCGTTTTGACACATCATCATGGTTTGCTGATCCGGTGATGCCTACTTTCCACATCTTTCCATGATGGATGAATCCTGGTGCAGGAGGTTTTTTGCATTTGTCCGGGTCCTGGACAGAAAGCAAATCCAAGTCATACTCAATGACGGTATCCACTCTCAGTATGCTCAGACATGCGACGAAAGTGCTCACAGCCACAGCCACCAGAACAGTCAGAACCAAGGATTGTCTCGTTGCTAGTCTCCGCGGTGATTTGCTTCATCCTGCGCCGTGGCTTGCGCCACATCCACGAGGACGCGGCGGTGTTGAGCATTGATTCATGCGAAGCGATGCGAACCCGCTCGGAAAGGGTGCGGGCTGGCGGCCTGGTTGCAGGTGGAACATGGCGTTATCGGTAATTTTTTAGAAGTAATCCTTTGGTGTAGGTCGGTCAACATGGTTTTGACTTTACAGGACACTGTACCAATGTTGGCTGTTCAAGTCTAATCTATCGCACAATCTCCACGGATCAAGCTCGGCATGACAGTCTTGTTCGGCCTGGATAGGGCAGACTCTGTCATGGAGGGTGGCATTGAGCAAGCAAAACATTCACTTCCAGACTATGTCCCCATTCCGATGTAGAACGTGTTCACAGCAGTTCCAGATGTGGAATTCACACAGCAACCACCAGCAGGCATCAGCAGGCCGCAAAGGATCCAGGCAGCCAATCGCAGACTCATGACGCAAAGGAACCGATGCAGTTGGTAAATTGGTTTATATACGGTTGGCATCGGGAATGGATTCCGGTGCATGGCCGGCCGGGCAAACGCCATGGTAACAATCAAGGAACAGTCAAGAAGCAAGTTGCAAATCTATAGTTATATAATATACTGTAATACATAATATATATGTATGTATAGGTGTGTTATATATTTTTGTGTTTTTTAATGGTGTGGTTGTTTTCTTTTGAAGACCTTCAAGGTCAAGCATTAATATCACCGGTTGTTATTGGTGCTCACCTGCCTGGTGGATTTTACAAGGTCAGCGCAAGAGAGATCAAGGTCAACGAACTGAAGTAGATAGACTTTGAATACGTACACAAAAATAAACAATATATATATATACATATTAATATGAGCAACCATGTTTTTTCAGGCTGTTCCGTTTGTCCAGGATGAACCAATCTGAAAAATAGGAACCCAGTTCCGATGATTGGCTTTGGGTTTCCCTATGTTCTATATTTATTGTCCAGGATGACTGCATTGTACAGTACTACATCGTTTGGCTGACTGCTTTCGAGCCAGTTCTAGTTTTTTTTGGTGACCTATCGCACGAGGGGAACGACCGACTGGAAATCGTGTTTGATCAAAGGTGTTCATTTTAGAGAGTGATTTTGGCTTATAAGTTGAATTAGTTACTTCATGTGGCCACCCCGCCAGCCCGCCTGGTGTGCTGTTGCTTTTGGATGCTGGCAGAATGCAGTTTTGGTAACAACCTTTGGGGTTCCTCGCTGGTTTGCGAGATTTTGCGAGGGACAGGGCTTGGAAGTTCTCAACATTAGCTCATGTGGTGACCAGCCGCTGTTTCTCCATTTGCTCCACAGGTGGTCAAAGTTTCTGAGAAGGATTTGGAACACCTCCAGCGCTGGCTTTAGTTGGTGCTAGTTTTCACACGTTGAGTAGTCAAGCATTTTTGCAGGAGATGATACGCACACACCGCCCAAAACCATCAACAAAACGACCTTTGGTTTGCTGACTCGCACGGCCAGAATCTGAGTTTGGAGAGGTCTTTGGGGTCTCCTGATTCGAAGACATACCCATGTGTTCTCCCGAAGTTAGTTTCTGGGGCCGAGGGCTCACTACTGTACTTTTGTCGACTCTTGTGTTGTTGAAGAGCTTAGAGCTTGCTCAAAGTCCCACGCACACGAGAAAATCACTACCAGAACAGAATCACAAACTTTTTGCTGAACAACTCTTATATTGCGTTTGGCCCCTATGTTGGAGCACCAACTCTTGCAAAGCCATAGATTCTTGTATATCCTTCCTACGGAAAACCATTTTGTAGGTTTAGGACGGTCCCTGCCTTACGCTCCCAACGGTCCGCCAAAAACGCTCGACCCACCCGGGAGGAGAGCGAGGCGAGGGGACGGCAGCTGGGAATCGAACCATACAAGGGACGTTTTCTTCACGGCGCGATGTTTTACTTTTGGTTTGCTCTTTCAAATGCGTTGGCACTTTTGGTTTGCTACCAAGCGTTGGTTCGTTTGTGACCAAATGCGTTTTCATGCTGAAAACACCCTCCCTATTGAGGCGGGTTTTGCTGCTGAATATTCTGTGAAGAGGTGGGTGCATGACACCAGCATGAAGAAACCATCATGAGGATAGAGCTCAACGGACCAACTGGAATGCCACGTGGAATGCACTAGCAGTCACTAACATTGGAATGGTGTTTTTTCATTTTGTCGATGTTTTCTTCCTTGGCTTAGCTTGAAGCTGAAGGTCAATCGTTGTCGGCTGTCGGCGTGTCTGTCAATCGTTGTTTGACTCGAGTCCATTGCTCCGTTCACCCGACCGGTCGACGGGTTTGCCTTGGGCCGACTGGCAATTTTTTGGGGTGACTTTCCGGAGGGTGACACCCCAAAATATGGCATATGGGTGAAGAAAAAAGACGTTTGGCCGTGAGCTCATGAGCTCTTGAGCTCCGCGATCAACCCTTTTGGCTCTCAGGTCGTGAAGTGTAGGCAAGTATATAGCTGATGAGGCCGAGGCTGAAGAAACAATCAGATCGGGTCAGACATCTCACGCCTGTCGAGAAACAGAACTTCCTTCTTCCAATCCATTTCTTTGATACTGCAAGGACATACATCAGATTTAGAGTAGATGGCACACAACCCAAGACATCCAAAAACGTCTGCAGGCTTGTGCCATTTGCTTGGCAGTGCTGTGTGTGGGCTTGTGCCAACAGAAAGTTTAATGCGTTTGCAACATGTGCAGAAATTTGCAGAAACAGAAGACTTGGCCCATTTGGGCACTGACAATGCAAGCACACGGCCAAACTCCCCATCAGCCTGATTGATTGCAATCGAAATGGATCCTAGGATTGTTGCCGATTTTTGCTGGCACGAACATGAAACCCCAGGTAGCTGACAAGGGGCGCAGTCCAAAAACAAGACAGACCCAATTTGGAGAGGCACCAAGTTCAGCGCACTACTTGAAACTCAATTATCAAGGATAGATAGCGGACAATTGAGTTGATGGATCCGGTGTCGGAATTGAGTTGAAAGCCTCGGATCGATAGGATCCTCACTATGACTCTGTTTCGGTGAGAGATAACGGATCTCCGGAGGATCCAGGTCGTGGCCAACACGCCATGATTACCGATCCGATGTCGTGGCTGGTGTCCCTTGGAGTGCTCGGGGTGCTGGTGATGCGTTGTTGTTTTTCCGCTGGTTGATGAGGGTGGCCTCCAAGCATTCAAGAATGGCTTATCCAAAGAAGTGCAGGAAATGATGCATGAGCTCTTTGGCCTCCGGATCATTATCATTTGAGCAACACTCGTGTCGCCTGTGGTTTGGGAACGGAATTGCATGTCCGACATCATGAGGTGTTGTTGGAGGGATCTGGAGGGGAAGTGGTGGTGGGAGAACATATGCAAAAGCGAAGGGACGGAAACATGCAAGGTTTTGCTGGAGGTGGTGTGCCATATGATCTGGGACAGGGCATGAAGTGGCACGCTTGCAGTGAGAAATGACCCAAACTGTTGAAAGGAGTCGTTTGCTGGCCTCTCATGAGCCAGACCTACAATAGAGACCGGGTCTCTATGGTTATTTTCTTATGGTTTTCGGGGACACGGCTGCTTTTGCCACCCAGCGTTTCGGCGAGGCTCGTTGCTGGGCAACTCGGAGCTGGACAACTCGGTTCATTGGGAGTGTCGATGGGTGGGCTCCATGCAGGGTGAGGTTCTATTTTTCCTTGTGCTGCACACGTATTTTTCTGGAGATGCTTTGGATTTTTTCTGCTTAAGCAAATCGAAGTGGACAGTTCAAAGGGCATCGAGCATGTTCCTGTTGCTTTTCTATTGTCGCATTGAACGGTCGCGCACTCTAGAGTTTGATTCTACATCCACGGCCCGGGGCCCACACCGAAATCCTGCAGCACCATCGGCCCACACTCAATGTTGCCCGCCTGTTCGGAGTGATTTTGGTGATGCTTTGGTAGGGAACTTTCGCGACAAACAATGCTTCAAGGCCACATCAGAATCTTCAGAAGAAACGAGTGGGGCTTAATTGCTTGCATGTGCTGTGGACACACCACCCCTCACTTCCGTGGTGTGCACTGCCTTGTCCTCCTAGATCCTTCGTCCGTCACCCGTTCACGCCATCCGCACAGCTGCTTGTTTTCTGTGGTTAAAGCCTCGGTGAGGCTTTGCAGTTTGATGGCATTCGACGTCAACTTTCTGGCGCCCAGCCAAGTTGGGCGGATGCCGGTGCCAACGGCCGCGAGGCTCAGCAGCTTCTGGCTTTGCCGCTCGGCGAGACTGATCGAAGGTGTGGCACGGTTCGAAGGTGAAAATGGAAAGCATTGGATGGTTGACTTGATTTCACATGAGATCCGTATTTAATTATCAAGGAGAAACAACATATATATATATATATATCATTGTTGCAATTTCCCTTACGAAATGGGGTTGAGCCATTTTGTAGCGGTACATTTGGTGATCCTTATGTCAATTCTTGTGTAAAAATAGTTTATCTACGAGCGCACAGATTTGTCTCTGGGAACAATCATTTTGTAAGAAGTACCATGTCTCATGCCTCCCAATTTTTGCCACTGGGGACCATCATTTTGTAAGAAATCAGCATTCGACAGTGGTGCAAACCAGTCATTTTGTAGTAACTAGATACCTAAATAAAAGATGCGCCTGGCATTTTGTAATTAAGCCCAAAACTGTTTTATAGTACAAAATGGGGTATCCTAGGTCCACCATGCAAAATTTCAAAGGCGATATGTCAGAATCGAAAGAGCACAAAGGGAACGTCGATGATACGTGTCGGCAAACGCAGTTGGCCCAAAGAGGGTTCGGGGCCAGGATCCTGCCCGCCATGGCGTTGGCTGGCAGCGTGGGCCAGCTGGTGTCGATGGGTTGGCGGCGGGAGACTCTTGCTTTCTTCCACGCCATGCCCATCGACGAGATCCAGGAAATGCTGCCCTTGGCGACGAAGGATTGGGTCGAAGAGGACTACAACGTCCTGCTGAGGGAGGCCAAGCGTCAGAGGCGGTGGATGGATGTTGAAGATAATTTGTTTTATCCGCATCAACGATTGCTGTACAAGGACGCCTCGGTGATCGACGCTAGGATCGCAGAGCTCCCCACCGCAGTGGCAGAGGCTGGCACCACCTTGGCTCTGGCACGTAAAGCTTTGCCCAGGGTGACTTGGAAGACGAGGCTTCAGAAAGCTTTGGCTGGGGCCGCGGGGGAGCAGCAGAGGGCGAAGGTCGAGGAGGCCGAGCGCGAGAGGTGGATCAAGGAGCTTTTGAAGCTCCTGGGGGATGCCGGGTTCCTTGGTAGCACAGCCAAGAGTCCGGAGGCCATGAGGCATTTGGAAGCACGCTGTGCGATGGGAAGGAGGGCATCCACCATTCGACAACATGTCAAGTACGGCCGCAAGCTGCAGATCTACATGGAGTCGGTCTATGGTGTGGCCTGGTTGAGGGGGTACATGGACTTCATAGGATACGTGTCCCTCCTCCTTGAAGAACCTTGCGGTCGCAGCGTGCCAAGTTCATTGTTTAAGGCAGTAGCGTTCTTGGAAATGGCCTCTGAAGTGCCTCCGGAAAAGCGCATCACCACGACCCAGGCCATTCACAACTACTTGATGGAGGTCTCCAAGGGCAGCTCATGGGCTCCGCATCAGCGGGTGAAGGCAGCTCGCATCCCGCTCGAAGTCGCTAGAGCATGGGAACAAGGGGTTCTGGATGTGAGCCTGCAGAAGTTCAAAAGGGTTTACTGCTGGTACAAGCTCATCAAACTATGGGGAGCCCTCCGCTCGCATGACGCGGAGGGCGTCCCGCCGGCTACTTTGATTTTCGATGAGGCCGTAGGACTCCAAGGAGATATCGTTCGTGGGAAAACTACCGGGGCCGGTCGCCGAGTCGAAGTGGTACAGTTCTTTGTCTCTAAGGACGCATGGCTCATCTCTCGCGACTGGCTCCGGGTGGGGCTCGAGCTCTTCATGGGCATGAACCGGGACATCGCCATGGGCAACAGGGACTTCCTCATGTGCAAGCCGACGACCTCCGGGGATTCCGGAAGTCCATGATGAGGTACCCGGATGCTATGTGCTTCTCAAGGGCCTTGTTGACGGAGCTGTACTCGACCCGGAAGAACGAAGAGGGCAGCTTGTACCGGATCATGATCCCGGAGTCCACTTCCTATTGGAGCGAGCATAGTGAACGGGTGACCATCATGAGCTGGGCTCTGATCGCGGAGATTCCGCGTGAGACTCGACGGAGGTGGGGCAGGTGGTCTCCGGGAGTTGATGAGGAGTATGCCGTGACCACGAAGAGGGTTGTGACGGCGGCCCAAGGCAATCTGGCATCGAAGATCCGGGCACAGTATGGGATCACGGACTTCGTGGACGACAAGAGCGTTCTCAATGGCTTCTCGCTGTGGCTGCAGACGGTGTACTTCAAGACGGTGTCGGAGTCGCACCAGGAGACGATGAAGATCGCACCACCTATGTGGGGAGGCCTCGACGCCGCTCCAGTTCAGGTGGTGAAGAAGCCGCTGCGGGAGCCCAAGCAGGAGGAGGACGACCTGGTGGTCCTGGATTCGCCAACCGAGGTCTTCTCGGATGATGAGGGCATGGACGATGTTCAGCCTGGCGACAGGTTCCCCCTCGGCACCTTCGATCATTTTGTCAGCGGCTGGCGGCTGGGCGAGCGAAGCGCCGTACACTCCACATCGTGGGCGGCTGCTACAGGCTTCCTGGTGTGCATTACCGGGAGTATGTGGTGGTCGGCCAGGAAAGGCCGGAGATTTCCTGGGAGAAGGGTGAGCGTTTGTGCAGCACGTGCTTCACTCCGAAGGAGAAGATCGCGGAGGCGCTGGCCAGTGGTGAGGGGGCAGAGCAGTCGACCTCGTCGGAGTCCTCCTCAAGCGAGGGCATTTCGGACGAAGACATCTGAAAAGATGGGGGTGTGAAAACTCCGCTGGGGAGATGGGTGGGCCTGGATTTCCGGTCGCTCGTGATCGTCAGTTCGTGGCTGTGGCTCCAGCGGGGGGTGGCTGCCTCTCATCGAGGCTCAAGTGGTCTCGGAGGGACCGTCCTCATTTGGACAACCCCTGGAGGGGGTTTCGGCGACGCGCCATGGCTGGTTTGACGCAGGCGGAAAAGATTGCAGAGCTTCAGCCCGACTTCCAAGGGCTGCTGGACGCCCGTGGCGTGGACTCGGCAATGCAGGAAGCAGTGTATGACAGTGGGATTAAGTCGATAGCCATGCTGTCGGCAATTGCTACGGACAGGACGTCCTTGATGGATGTGGCAAAGTCGGAAATGGGGGTGGACATTGTGGCCAGGCCGGCCGATGCCATAAGGTTTGCGTCATTGTATTTGACCTGGCAGTCCTCGGTGAAGAGAACTTCGGCACTGGATGAGATGGATGCCGAGGCGGTGACCCATAAGGCCCCCCAAGACGGTTCCGGGGGTGGAGATGCAGCTCTACCGCTCCGAGTACGAGAAGAAGTTCTACAAGTTGAAGGACTCGGAATGCCCAGGAAAGCCCAGCTTCGAGGACCTTTGCGAGCAGATCGATGGGGGCGAGTTCAGAGCCATGGCCCTCAGACACTTCGGATCGAGGGCGGAGGAGGATGACGCGGAGACGGGCAGTCTTCAGGTGGGGAAGGCCGGACAAGTGAGGATTAAGAAATCCCGGGTGGAGACCAACAACCCGACCAACATGGAGGAGTTCCGCGCGAAGATCAACCTCGTGGTGAATCACCTGATCTTTGCGAGGTTCAGGTACCCCCACAAGCAGACGTTGGAGGGCATCTCACCTTTCACAGCCATCGAGTACCTCAACTACATCTGCAGCAAGAATGTGGCTCAGTTGGAATCGGTCACCATTGATGACATACCACTTCATCGCCCTTCGCTCAAGCTCATCCTGGCCTACGAGTACCAGATGAGGAAAGAGGTGGTGGACGAGGTGAACAAGGGCATCACTTGGGCCAAGGCTCTGAAGGAGGTGGTAAAGAATGCAGATGTCCGCGAGCGCTACTTCAGTACGCCCTTAGCGGTGTCTTCGGCTTCGCAGGCACTGAAAGATCCTTGGAGTGGGCGCCATCGAGCGCAAGAACGTCAGCATCCCTACAGTCAAGGGGCCATGGACAAGGGCAAGGGCAAGAGCAAGGGGAAGCATAAGAAAGGAAAAGGGAAGACCAAGGGGAAGGGGCAATCCCTTCATGGAGTGACACCGGACGGGCGGCAGTTGTGTTTTGCATGGAACAACCGCCTAGAAGGGTGCAAGGGGGATTGTGGACGTGTTCACGCATGTCGCATTTGTTCAGACACCAGCCACCCAACCTTTGAGCATCCCACCGATGCCAAGGATTCGTGACTAGGGTGCGAAAGCCCGGAGCGGCCAGTGCATGAACCTGTTCAGGAATTCAAGATTTGTACCTCTTCTCAGGACCTCAGCGTTCTACTGGGATCCCGGAGGTGCTACAACGGCTCGCCACTACTTCCAAGAAGCCGGTGTCGATCCAAGTGGACGCCTATGACATCCTTCGAGATCCTAGGCACGACCTCTTACATGACGACCTCCGAAAGGAGATTTTGAAGAAGCTGGAAAACGGCTACTATGACGCAGTTATAGCCTCGCCGCCTTGCGGCACCTGGTCTCGGGCTCCTTGGGCGAACGTTCAGGGGCCCCGTCCACTCAGGAGTTCTGTGCACCCCTACGGTTTTCCGTGGTTAGAAGGCTGGAAGCTCTTGAAGGTGACACAATCCAATTCGATGGTGGAGCTTTCCTTACAAGCATTCACTATTTGCATGAAGCAGGACATTTTGTTTCTGTTTGAGCACCCGGAGGACTTGGGCGACAGCTCTGATATGCGACCGGCATCAGTTTGGCAGTTGCTTCCAATCTGCAACTGGGTGGCGGCCGGCGAGGCCTTCTCTGGTGCTTTCTTTCAATGTTACTTTGGCGCCTCTTCACCTAAGCCTACGAGATTACTCCACAACATTGTTGAGTTGAACGACCATCTTTGGCCAGGGATGCCACAGCTTGATGCGGTCGGAGCCTATCAAGGGCCATTACCTCCCCACTGCGGGTGCACCGCGCCTCACCAAACGTTGATCCGGAAAACATCGGAAGGCGCTTTTGCCACCACGGCGGCAGCAGCCTATCCACCAGCCATGGATGCATGGCTGGCACGGTGCATTTTCTCCCCTCTTCTGAAGCGGGCAGAGAGGAGAGCTTCGGCAATGTCACCCTCAAAAGGGGCACCGGTGGCCTCTTTGACGGCTTCGCTTCCCAGGGTTTGACGGCTTCTCCAACGGCTTTTCAGGGGGCATCGCAGGCTTTCTCGACTGCTCCCCAAGGGGGTGGCACCTGCGGCTACGTCGAACCTCCTTTGAGGGTGGCACCTACCTCACGACCTCCTTCGAGGGTGGCATCTACTTCAGACCCTCCGGCTACTACCCCTTTGACCTCATCGGCAACAACTACTTCAGGGAGTTCGTCTTCGGCAACTACTGGTCCAGTCCCATCGTCTTCGGCAACCACTATTTCACCGCAATCGTCTTCGGCAAGGGCAAAAGGGCAGGGGGAGAATCCTGTCAAGCGAAGGAGGCAACTTCCAGTTCCTGTACAAGATCGTCCCTGGTCGCACCTCCAGGTGTGGTACAAGGGGAGGGCTCGCAGGATGGTTGACGGCTTAGGCCTCAATTCCCCAGGGACGAGGCCGTCTGGCCACAGGGGCATCCAGCTGGAGTTGTGGGGAGTGTAGCTGTCAAGGGCGTTTTGGGGGGGAGGTTGATGGCTTCCTGCACTCGATGTCCAAGGCGCAGAGACTTCGGCTGTTTTCGGAACTGGCGTTGCACCTGCTCTCCCTTCGTTGAGGTCCTGGAGGGCATCCGTGGTCGCTTGGACAAGATGGTCGCTGGTGGAGGATTGGATCCGGGCAGGCGTCCTAGGGATTGGGACTCGGAGATTGCGTTTCGTCGGCTGCAAGCATGGGCCCTGACGTTGGGGGACGCGGACTCTCGGTTCTTGGGGGATATGGCGTCCACTGGAGTGGATTTGGGGTCAGAGGAGAGATACCCTGGGTGGAGGTGGTTTATGAGAAGAAGGAGAGAAAAGGGGATGATGCTATCCCCCCCCACCTGGGACGAGGAGGAGAAGGAGGCCAGCTTGCGGGGCAACTACGCTTCGGCTAAGGATCATATGGAGAGAGTCAAGCACCATGTGGAGGCGGACATTAAGAAGGGCTGGATGGTTTGCGTCCCGCTGTCAAAGGCCCAAGAAGAGTATGGAGGAGACCTTCAGGTTGCTTCGTTGGGTGCGGTGCCGAAGGACAAGGAGTGGAGCGATGTGAGGGTGGTTCACGACGGAACGCATGGACTTCAGGTCAACTCGCAAATCCAGCAGCCCAATAAGATGGCGTTCCCTCAGTTTGACGACGTGGACTGCGCCATGAAGGCCTTTAAAGCTGATGGCCCCTCATCCCGGGCGCTCCTGGCCTTCGATGTGAAGTCCGCTCACCGGTTGATCCCTATCCATCGGAGGGATTGGGGCCTGCAAGCGTGCCGCTTGGACAAGGAGGAGGAGGTGCTTCTCAACACACGAGGTACCTTTGGAGTGGCCAGTGCGGCCTTCTGGTGGGGCCGAGTTTGCCGGCCTCCTGTTTAGGGTGTTTCATCGGCTCCTGCCGCCTCAGGCGATCTTCTACCTGCTCCTCTTCGCCGATGACGGTTTGGTCCTGTCTGGAGGCGACGACTCATGCGCTGGATATTTGGCATGTTCCTCTATCTCGACTTGATGGAAGTCCCTTTGTCGTGGGTGAAGACGAGGGGAGGATGGCAGGTAGAGTGGATTGGGTACACCCTGGATCTCAAGGGCTGGAGGCTTGGGATCAGTGATAGAAAAATGGAGCGGTTGAAACAATGGTCTGAATGGGCCCTGACAGTTGGCAAGATGCTTGGGCGTGAGTTCAAGGCTGGTTTAGGCCGGATGGGGTTCCTGGCTGGAGCGGCAAAATACGCAAGGCCGTTCCTTGCCCCCCTGTACGCGGCCAGTGCCAGGGTTTCGGGGGGCGGCTACTTTGAGTTGCACTTTGCCACAAAGTTGGCCATCCGGTTCTTTGAGGAGATGGTCAGCTCAGAGCCCATGCGCCCCCCTTTCCGTGGTACCCGAGGTCCTGGGCGAGGTCTTTAGAGTAGATGCCATGGCTGACCAGACTGGCATTGCAATTGGTGGCTGGGAGACGGCGGAGACTTCTGACACCAAGAAGGCTCGTTGGTTCCACGTCCGGCTGGACCGCAAGAATGCAGCCTACCTGTACTTGAAGGGTGAGCCTTTTCGGACGATTTCGACGTCGGAACTCTTGGCCGTGACGGTTGCTATAGTCATCTTTGGCCAGGACTCTAAGTGGCGCTCGGGAGCAGGAAGAGTTTCGGTGACAGGCCTCACCGATAACGTGAGCAATGCCTACTTGCTTGACCGGTTCCTCACCACGAAGTTTCCTGCGTCTCTGGTTCTCATGGAATTGGCCTGTCAACTGGAGAAGTACAAGCTGGATCTGTCTTTGTCCTGGATTCCACGGGAACAAAATGAACCAGCAGACGACTTAAGTAAGGGTCGCTTCGAGCTCTTTGAAGAGGCCAACCGCGTGGAGGTGGAGATGGAGAACTTGCCCTTCATCGTCCTTTACAAGCTCATGGACACCGCCATCGAACTGGACGAAGAAATCAAGGTCAAGAAAGTTTCGAAGGGCTCGACACCTGACTTCGGCAAAACACCTCCTACAGAACGCTTGAGATTGACGCAGCCCTGGTGATCTCCAAAGCGGGAATGAGGACCGCGAATCTGGCAAGCGCTCCTGGAAAAGAAGTGAG